CACCGGGTTGCGCTATACCGCCTCATTAGGGATCATTCATGAGAAGTGCATTTTATTGATATTCCACCGGGTTGCGCTATACCACCTCATTAGGGATCAGTCATGAGAAGCGCATTTCATTGATATTCCACCGGGCTGCACTGTAGCGCCTGATTGGGGATCTGCACCTTCATGCCTCTTGTTGATTTGGTGACAAGCTGACCCGAGGTCAGCAGGGGTCAACCATCAGCCATGACTGTGGCTCCTTAATCATTCTCTAAATGACGAGTGACCAGCACCATCTGTCATAAGCAGCATGGGGTCTTGTGGACACAGTGGGACAGGGTTTGTGCGGCCAGCATCCACCACACTGACAAAGTACTCTGTCCTGCATTCAAAATGACACTCCTCTGGCCATCGATTCTGGGAGACAGTGGCATGACAGTGTCCCAGTCCATCCAAGCTGTATGAATCAGAGGCTTTTGAAAGAGAGACTGACTACTTGTGCCTCCACACTCCAGTTTATTTCCTGCCCCCCCACACCTGCTGTCTCCCCCCCCCCAATAATAGCACTTTACCATACTCCCATTCCTGAATCAGGTCCACTCAATTCACCCTTTGTTTGGGTTAGATTTAGGGTCTAACACCACAAAAAAAACAATTAAAATTAATGACAAATTCAGATTTAAATGCAAAGGCGATAAAAAGACATAAAACTCTGGGAATGTCAGAGGATAAAATCTCAAACCAAAGCCTGAGGTGGGCATAGGAAGGGAGGAGTTTGTTCCTGGCCCACCACTGTCAAAAACATGCCAGCATGTTAAACCCACTGAGAACACGCTAACATGTTAAACGCACAGAGTACACGCTAACATGTTAAACCCACTGGAGTAGGAAAGACTAGCCTGTTGTATCAGCATTCATCTTTAGTTCAGTGACACTTTGTTGTCATTCTCCAAGGTAGATCCATTTCCCCCCCGAATTACCAACAGCACGCCTACAAGAAGACTACAATCTACTTAGCATACTATTACATGGTACCTATGACTTACCTTAAAAGTAAAGCACAATGTAACAAACTAAAATCATTAATTGTTTAATCGTGAATGGACATAGGATGTTCTCAATACCAAGAACCATGCAACCAATGTACCAAGAACGACATCTGGGGATTTTTATCATCATCTGTACTTCTGTTCTTGAGTATTGGAACTGGTCCAATTCCATGATTCATTGCAGCCCAGGTTCATTCTTGGGATCTGGTCTTTAGCGATGGATGATGGCATGAAACGTGTACCTGAGAACACAAGTATGATACAGTGGCTCTGCATTCAAGGTTGGGGTACCCCAGGGTTCAGTTTTAGGACCACTATTATTTCTAATTTACATAAATGATATCTACACTAATAAATATAGTAAATTGGTTAAATTTGCAGACAACACCAGGCTGAGTGGTGTAGCAGACACTGAATTAGCAGCACAGAGGCTACAGTGGAATCTTGATTTAATTAGCAACTGGGCTGATGAAATTTAACATAGATAAATGTAAAGTAATCCAAGCAGGGAGCAGAAATATAAAGTACAGATATTTTATGGGTTCCATTGAAATAAGATTAGCTGATTATGAGAATGACCTTGGTGTGTATGTTGACGCTTCCATGTCCCACTCACGGCAAAAGAGACTTAGGGGGGGACATGTTCCAGGTATATTAGTACACATATTGAGAAACACCCATAGACTACATCTCAGCTCAGAAGACATTTACAAGGTGTGAAAGCTGAAGTGGTTAAAAAGAGCTCCCCTTATCAAATGGTACAGTCCACACCTGGCTGTTGAAAAATGTGTCCCCCCCACAAGGGGAGTGGACTTGCTGAATGCCAGGACCATCCAGTGGTATAACACCTATACTGAAAGGAAACTAACACAAGAAAAAAAACCACCATGACACAAAACGGAAGGAATATTTGCGGGGGGCTGTGGAGGGAGGTCTATGCGTGTCTAAATCGATTAGCTCCTGGGCTGCAGATTAAATGACTTTGTCTATCTTAGTGGGATCTACCAAAATTCTTCCATTTCCCACTGATTCGGAGTTCCATAATTAATTGCTTGACATTAGCATGTATGAAATATTGCGCGATAGTGCAGGCCTGTTAAACTTCATAATTTCTCGAAACGGTCAGAGTTGGTTAGTCAATAGCAGGAGGACTAAGAAATGTGTGTGTGTGTGTGTGTGTGGGGGGGGGTGTCTGAGACGCGTTCTTCTACAGCACGGATGTCAAACAGCAGTCCTGGGGGGCCGGAGCCCTGCACATTTTTGGGTTTCCCCTCGTTTAACACGCCTGATACAACTCCTTGAGCTAATTACCACACAGCTCTTGAGCTGAATCATTTGTGATGGAACAGGGAAAGAACTAAGCTACACAGGGCTCCAGCCCCCCAGGACTGCAGTTTGACACCCCTGTTCTACAGACTCTTATTATGACACCTGAGTGGCACAGCCCAGGTTAACATGGTCACACATGGAGGGGGACCTTCACAACATTAAGTAAGCAGCTGGGGAGGGGGGCAGACAAACACTGTGCTTTCCTGTGTATTTATCTCTGACACTCCCCACGCCACACCACCATCCTTAGCAGCCCTGGAGCCAAACAGCACGTTTCAAAGAGCAGGTTTCTGACTTGGTACGTGTCCCGCATATCACCCAGCAGCAGAGGAACATCGCTAATCCTGACCAGAGACCTTTCTGTCGAGCCGTGCCCAGGAAGCGCGTCGTTCTGATAAGGATAACCAAATCTTTGGGCTCCGCCCCCTGCCCCTGCGCTCTCCCTGCCGTGTCCGCCCACATCGGCGGGGTTACCCTGCGCCTCTGTGGCGCCTCGTGAGAATGCAGCGAGCTCACACTGAGAGGCATGGTGGGCCTCAGGGGCGGCGGACTGATGGCATGTTCGCCTAAGCGGCTCCAGAGCAGATCAGCTAGCGGGAGCCTTCAGTGCCAGAGCAGACCAGTTCCAGCACACAGCCTATTGTGACTGCGAGTTCTGCCGGGTCTGGGAGAGACTACACGTATAAAGAGGGAGGTATAGCAGCTGAGGCAGAGACGAAGGCGGGGAGATCGCGATCAGCCTTTCCTATCAGGCCTCGCCTAGAGCCCCGTGATACAGGAATCCGCGTGACACGTCTCTCCCGTGGTGCCGTGTGACGTGGAACGTGCTGCACGTGCACACCACGGCGGAGATGCTCCATTTTTAATGGGGTGGACCGTACGGATTCCACAGCAGCAGGTCGAGCAGCAGAGCCTGTGCACATGGTGCACAGAAGAGTAAAATCAGCCAGGAAAGCGGCAAACCCTAAGTTGGCTGAGACACTGTCTTCACAGGGCATACAAAACACCAGCGACACAGCAAAGGAGAAAAATTCAAAAGGTATTGATACCGAGAGCTGAATTACAATGTGTTATTGTGACGAAGGCTACGTAACACTGCAGGGCTGGGTGTTCCCAACCCACTCTCTGGGGGGGGGGGGGGGGGGCTTGCAGATTCTCCAAGTCACATGAGTGTCCTCCTGGAATAGGGTTACCTGCCGACTATGCCGCCTGTATGGTGCCCAGCAATGGACTGACATCCGATCCAGGGTGGAGACCAGCCTGTGGGACTGGGATATGCCAAAGGCCTCCTGTCACCTTTCCCAGGAAGAGCAGGTGGTCAGGGAGGCAGGCGGTGTTTACAGTGACAGCCACTGGTCTGTAGTCTCAGTGCCATGTGCTGTTTCAATACTGATCAGCGGAGCGAGCGTTAGCAAATCACTGGCATGAGGGATGAGGGGGGGGGGGGTGCCTGACGTGGGTGACACACTGTGAGGGGCGGGGGAAGTCATCTGAAAGGCAGCGGCACACCACAGATCACCGGTGGGGAGGGGCACATATTTCATTTAGATAAATATGCCCGTCTCCTGGGAGAAAGAACACACCCCTGAATCCAAACACAGGATTACTGCAATGCCAGGGGCAGCTGAACTGCGGGAATGAGGCTCGGGACAGCGAACAGGAAGGTGGGGGGGGGCACACAGATAGATAAATTACAGGCTGGACTCTAATCACGGTGTGAAATTTCAGCCGGTGTCCTGAACCCCCCACAAGATAAGCCCAGTGATGGGCTCTGCACCTCAGGGACAGTCTGGCCAGATGCCAGGCAAACGGTGATATGCTTCTCCGAGGTCAATACGAGACGCCCTTAGTGCGGGGGGGAGAGGCGGAGGTCTGGATTTACGGCCACGATGACTTGTGGCGGTCAGAAGGGAGGCACAGGCATCTGCCCTCCGAGCGAAGGGCAGAGGCCAGCCAGGATAGATCAGGTGTATTAATATGCAAATAGTGACCGACAAAGGTTATCAGATTAAGTTAAATCAACAACAGGAGAAACCAAATTAAGATTAAAGAATTACAGGGAGCTTAGTTACAATCGCGGATAGGGAGAGCTAATCAGCTATCCTCTACAGCTGCAGACACAGATAAGGCTGTAACGACTTCTTGTTGGCAACAACAGACAGGTGTCCGGCACAGTCCAAAGAGCCCTGCTACGGCAGAGGCGGGCCTGAGTAGGAAAGCACTTTGGGTTTAGAGACTGCAAGGCACTGGGCCAGACTTTACATGGGACAGAGCCACTGGGTCACACCACAGCAACATGCTAATCCCAGCAGCGGTCCTTCAGCGCCTAGCTTCCACCCTCATCCTTCTTGTCAGTGCTTTAACCGTCTATTGCCACATCAGGCTTGACTTCCTTTTCCAGTTTTACAGTTCAAGCTCTTGCTCAGCCTCCTCAATCTTAATGTTCTCATAATATCTCCCTTCCCATGTCTCCAAATTCACACCAGCATCACATTCAGTGTCAGGATAGTTCTGTAAACCAACCAGAAACTGGGCTGCTGTAAACAGAGGCCTCTCAAGTCAGTACCCAGCTCTGACAGAGGGGGAGGATAACCAGCCTTTTTCCCTGTGCCCTTTCCCGTCCCCTGTGGGCTGCAGGCTGCGGGCTGGAGGTTCTGCTGGTCCTGTGGGGTTTGGAGCTGTCCTGGTCCTGCCCGCGACACTGCATCTGTTACACGGCACCCAGCACGGTCAGCTGCCAGGCGCACAACTTCCTGTCGGTCCCCGAGGGAATCCCGGCAGACAGCGAGCGCATTTTCCTGCAGAACAACCGCATCAGGAGGCTGCAGCGCGGCCACTTCAGCGCCACCACCATCAAACTGTGGATCTACTCCAACAACATCAGCTACATTGAGCCGTCCACCTTCCTGGGCTTCAGTCTGCTGGAGGAGCTGGACCTGGGTGACAACCGGCACCTGCGGGCCCTGGCGCCGGACACCTTCCATGGGCTGAGCCGGCTGCATGCCCTGCACCTGTACCGCTGTGGCCTGACCGCCCTGCCCCCCGGAATCTTCCAGGGCCTCAGGAATCTGCAGTACCTCTACTTACAGGTAAGGAGGAGGCCGGCTCGAACCTTACGCCTGAGTGAACGTTAATCCCCCAGCAACTGCTGAGATGGGTACGGGATACGTGTGTGTCGAGATAAGCCTCAGGTCGGTGTGTTACAGCCAAAGCTACTGGTGTCGCAGCAGATAAGGCTCTCAGTTTCTTTTAACACTGGCTATTCTGTTCTTTTGATGTAATATTTAAAGCACACCGTGGACCTCGCTGTTCATTTTGTCCGCAAGTCCGCTACGGTGTTAAGATGAGGGCGTGTTTTTATACAGCAAGCCAGTTTAACGCCAGTTTAGCTGAAGGTGTGACTGCGGGGAGCCAGATGCAGGGAAAACAGGCACCTTTTGATGCACTTTGGTTATGCATGACTAAGAGCCATTCGGTTTGAGACTCAAATGCCTGTTGACATGTTACTGCGTCACGGTGGTTCAGAGGTTTCCCGCTGTGTCCTCCAGGACAACCACCTGGAGCTGCTGCAGGATGACCTGTTCGTGGATCTGCAGAACCTGAGTCACCTCTTCCTGCATGGGAACCGGCTGTGGAGCTTGCACCAGAACACGTTCCGTGGGCTGCGGGCACTCGATCGCCTGCTGCTGCACCACAACCGGCTGCAGTGGGTGGACCGGCTGGCCTTCCACGACATGCAGCGGCTCACCACGCTCTACCTGTTCAACAACTCGCTGACCCAGTTGCCCGCCGAGTGCCTGGCCCAGCTGCCCGCCCTCGAGTACCTCAGGCTCAACGACAATCCCTGGGACTGTGGCTGCAGGGCACTGCTGCTCTGGGATTGGCTGCGCCGTTTCCGGGGCTCCACCTCCGAGGTGGGCTGCCATGAGCCGCCAGGGCTGGCCGGTCGGGACCTGAAGCAGCTGCGAAGAGAGGAGCTGCCCACGTGCTCGGGGTCCGAGTCGCTCCACCAGAGCAAGGCGGGTCCTCGGTCAGGGGCCGACACGGTCTCCCTGAAGAAGGAGGGCCAACCGCCGCCGTATGGCGGACGTGAGCCGCTCCCACCGCCCTCCCCCCTGCCACACCCACCTCCAGCCAGCTCAGGGCTGCCCCCTGGGGGCGCTTCTGCGCAGAGGCCCAGGAACTGCACAAGGCAGCGCGGCAGGGGGGGCAAGGCCAAGGGGCAGAATGGGGTGCACGCCCTGAAGGAGATGACCGGTAAGGAGTATCTACCCCCTGACTTTGGACCCGAGGACAGTAAATATGACCATGGTATCCCCAACGGTGTTCCCCCACGCAGGAAGCACAAGTGCACTCCCCGGCCGTCCATGCGCCCCCCCAGTGGAGTCCTGCAGGCCACCAACCAGGCGATGTGCTGCCGGTCCCAACACCTGCTCTGCGCTGTGCTGGGAATCCTTGTGCCCTTAACTTCCGTCATACTGCGTTGAGCCAGCAGGGGGCGTCTCTGACTCCCAACAATCCAGCCTTCATACTCACTTTAACCCCAGCACTCACGGGCCTGTTTGTGTGTATGTGTGAGCATGTGCGTGGGCGTAAGAGAGAACTTTAGCGTAACTGCGTCCACGTGAGAAGCTCATTACTCCGAGACTGGATTCGAGACGGAGAATGGCTGTTACTCTCGGCTTCAGCCGTCTGTCAGATGAGACATTTGGAGTCTCGTTGTCCAGGTACTAAAGGACAAGAGGCATGGGCTGGACAGCCACTGACTGCCATCGGTGACACCTCACCCTGTGCTCAGGACTCCATTGTTAGCGCCATCTACAGTTCAAAAGGGAGACAGCATTTGAAACATGCAGTAAAGAAACTAAACGAAACAGGCTGGAAGCTGAGTCTGGGCTTTCAGAAAAGGGATTGAAAAGCCTTCACCCATTACTAATGTGCAGAAAATGCTACCAAATGCCAAGACTTTACAGCGTTACTCATTTTTACGGCCAGTTACTGTGTGCAGCACGTGTGAGCATTGGCAGGTGGTGTCCAGGTAGATCCAGGAGGGAACAGCAACGGCTCGGAAGGTTGGCTGGGTTTTTCCTGTAATTCTCTGCTCTACCAAATGAAGGCTATGTATGAATGAATCCCTGGAATAGCCAATCAAACATAAGAGTCTGTAGAGAAAGCTTGCCCACAGAAGAATCTGCCCTCCTCTAGCAGCGAATCAAAGTGCTTATCACCCTTCCTGATTGATCTTTAATTGGCCACGGTGTATAGATGAGGGTTTGGGCGGTGCCATCGGGGAGAACGGTCAAGGGCGACACGTCCCTTATTCCAGCCAGTCACCTTCCCATGGAACATCTGACTTCATGCATAATAAAACAGGCTAAATAAAATTCTGCCTTCAAATTTTCCAAAAAGCACAGGTAACATCCCACCTCATAACGGAACTTCATAGATGGGTAGTAAACAACAAAATATTAAGACATAATAAAAAATGAACATGTAAATCTAAAGAAATGACTCTTTGCTGCAAACGTGACACGGACGCCCTGGAGGGCGGGTAACCCAGCATGGAGGCAGAGAGGCCCTGGGTGCGGATGCAGACCTCAGACACACCTCTGCATCGGCAGGGTACTGGTGTCAAGCAGGGAGGTGCTGCAGCCAAGAAGGGGGGCGTGGCCACCGGATGGGTGTGGCCATAAACTGGGCGTGGTCACCAAATGGGCGAGGCCACGGGATGCAGGAGCGAGAGATACGACACCCCCATCTGCGGATCGGTGGGGACTTCACGCCTCCAAAGCTAGATTATCCCGAGACTGTTTGTACTGATGTGAACTGTACCATTACCGCTAATAAAATGAGTAATTACCGTGCCGATATTAACCATCAGTTATCATGAAAATGACTATTAATGACATTAACAGGGTTCCAGTTTCCAAGAGAGAGCAGTATATTTATTTAAATTTATTTTTAGTTCTTTTTGTAAGGTTCTCAGCACCATTTTCAAAAAATAATAATAATACCCAGTCCTGTGTACTTATCCTTATTTTGAGTCATGACTGAAGAATAATACAGAGATGTTTATAAAAG